ATATGAACTGTATCATCAAACATTTACAAGTCTTTTCCTTACGGTTTTACACATCAAAGACATTAAAATACTTATGAATTCACCAGCTTAAATGTTGATTTATGCTTTCAAAATAACTTGTATTCTCAGGTAATCAGTAGACAGGTACCGGTGATAGGTTTTTGAGAAGACGGAGCACAGACAAGACTCGTCTTTTATCATTCATTTTTGGTGTCTATTGCATTACACAGAACACACATGTATTGAAATTATATATTTAATGCAATGGATGATGGTTGTTTGCTTATTTACTATTACTGTGTTGTGATATTATACATGACGTCCTCCGCTCCATAACGTTTCCGCCGATCTTGGTTTTGGGGTGTGACATGATCCTGGTGATTTTGAAAGTGCTATTTCAACTTTATGGGATGTTGAATAACTTGGAAAATCTTATACAACCGACTACAAATGATGCGGGTGTTCCTGATGATAAAGATATAGGTACCTACATGTGCTTTTACACCAAGTTAATTTTATATTTTATTTTATGAAGTAAGAGCTTGTTTAGTGTGATGAAATGAAATTACGAACGAATGGAATGAATTATTTACATTCCATTATCATATTACACTACCCAAACACTGAAAGCCAATTAATATTAACATTTTATACGGGTGATTTTGTAATTTTGATTGTATGTGTCAACAGAAGAAGAAAAGAAGGCAAGCTTGGAAAGAGAGATGTGTTTAATTAAGGAGAGAATGAATGTAATGGAATCAGATAGTCGATACCTGAAGCACACTGAAATGACACTCAGAAAGGATGATGAAAGAGATGACCTTCTTATAGAGATAGCTCAAAATCTTCAAAAGCTCAGGACATGACAAAACACATAGTAAAATTAAATTAATAGTCTTAAATTTTAACAATTTTGTTTCGATTTTTTTATAGAAAAAAAATAACAAATAAGCAAGGTAGGTGATTTTTCATGCATGGAGAGGCTCTCAATAAGGGTGGTGAGGTTAGAAAAAGTAGGGTTCGTAGTGTAGATCTGGATACCACTTGGATCATGTGAACACTTTTTGAACTGATTTTTGTATCCTATGACTAGGTTGCAAGAAATCCAGCTTAGGATAATCCAATATGACACTTACGATTTTAGGCACAAAAGTCGTAAGCCAAATTACTAGAAGGATTCTGTGTTAGTTTGATGAAAAATGAGAGCTTAAGAATTTCGTGTCTCTTCTCAAAGAGAAGAGTTGTTTCTATAATAAATGAGATTAGGGTCTCTATTAGGATTGGCCGTTATGGGTTTCTTTGGAAGCAAGCTAGGAAATTTGAAATTTAATGAGGATTTAGGATTTCCAAAACTGACGAATTTTGTCAGTTTTACCATAAACACCCTCAAGAATTCGTTTTTTCCACTATGTTCACATATGTAATTTTTGAAGAGTTTTTGGGGCACTGCCCTTCGACCCCACCCGCTGACCTGTTAGCGGGACCCCAGCCAGGGGCTCTGCCCCTTGGACCCCGTTAGGGGCGTTGCCCCCAGACCCCCGACTTGTCGTCGAACCGACTTATAATTCGATCTTATACATGCGTGCACTTTGCACAAATCCGTACATATACTAGAGTACAAATTATGAAGCTCGTTAACTTACATGTTAGTTCTTGTTACATAAAATGACACGATGACACTAAAATCACCAACAAGTGAGGTAGATAATCAAAAAGGTAAGAAATTTTTTTCCTCACATTGGAATTTTCATACTTTCTCAAACATTCATCATAAAATACATAGCTGAAAGGAGACATGAAAGTCATGGAATTCTTTGCATTGTTCATACTTAGAAGACCATTGTAGAAGCACACACTCCATGTTGAAGAAAAAAATTTGTGCAAGACAAATCACAACTTGTAGTGACGTTAATGATAACATGCTAATTGGAAGGATTTTGCACCTTTAATCGAAAATTACTATCTATAAGGCTTGGGAGTTATTTGCTTTTGGCATTTCCTTTTACTATTCTATCTTTGCAGACTATTGTAGTGTTGGGTATAGTAATAAGGCGAAATGTCTAAGTTTAATCCTCTATATTGTTGATATTGCTTATAGTTTAAGACATGTTACCTAGGATAAAACCTAACCATGTAGTTCTTGATTCTACATAGAAGGTTAGTTTACTAATGAGATCCTGATGTATTTTACTACTTGTGCTACTGGTACCGTGTTCCTATTATTCATCTTGGTTTTGGTTCTTAAATCTTGACATGTTATATCAATTGTACAGTATGAGGCACAAGAAAATATCTATCTTGACAGCCTAATAAAGTAAACAATATTAACTTTCTATTTGCAATGGAGTTGAAAGGTAAAGAAACAAAATTAATTCTCACACTTTGAGTTATTTGTATGGATTGAAAGTTCCAAGACAGGGATATATATATATATATATATATATATATATATATATATATATTATATATATATATATATATATATATATATATATATATATATATATATATATATTAATTATTAACGGTAAAACTTATTTCTAGGTTATTTATATAGTTGATGTCGTTATAAATTGTTATTAACGATAAAACTTATTTCCATGTTATTTATTTAATTTGTCGGATACACACATGGAGGGTTTTATAGCCCATTATGGAGAGAAAATGTATCATTTAAATGAATGGTCTCATGGGCACCAACCAATTAACATGAAACATTCATCAACAAGAAATGTTATGAAAAGATGTTTTGGTCTTTTGAAGGGAAGATGGGGAATATTAAAGGATAGTTTGTATTATCCAATTGAAACGAAAAATGAGATCATAAGGATATGTTGTCTCCTACATAGCTTCATAAACAAGAAATGAAAGTAGATCTAATTGACAATAATTATGATCGGGACGAGGGAATTGAAGATCTTGGACATGAAGATATTTATACTATTACTTTTATTAGGACTTCAAACGAATGGGCTATATTTAGAGATAATTTGACAGAATCTATGTTTGCATCTTGGGGTGCAACCAATTAATTTGGCATTTTGCTTATCTATTTATAATGTGTAGTTATGTTGGAAAAATTGTTTCTTGCTTATTGTTATGTTGGAAAGATTGTTGGGATGTGAAGTGGAATGACTTTATTAAGTTATGATGTTTATTAACATTATTTTCTCAATATATTGAGATAAATGCTCATTCAATAATACTAAAAATTATTATTTTTATAATTTAAACTCCATCTGTTCTAAAATTACCGTCTGCAGATCAAAAACATACACATTAAGAAAACATTAATTATTATTAACTTTATTAAATGAACTGATAATTTTACATTTTTGTTGTATTTAATTCTATGATAATAACTAATAATGAAAGATATTTTAGTAAAAATGATATTTCTTTTGAGAAGTAAGCTACTATTTTAGAACATACCAAAAAGAAAACAAAAACAATTAATATGAGATAGAATGGGTATAATATATTTTTACATATAAGTTAAAAAACAAAATAAAATTAATCAAAAAAAAAAAAGCAATAATATCATTGAATTCCAATTCCATTTTTTACAATCAAACATAATTTAAAATTAATTTCAATTCCATTTCCTACATCTAAATAACACATAAAATTGAATTCAAATATCACCTAGATTTTCATAAATGTAATATGGGAAAATCTATCTTTCTAGATTTTCGCAGCCAATATGCCCAAAATGATGTCTTTTGTCAAAATAATAACTTTTTTGTAGATGACCAAATTTTCGTAGATGGTTATCTACGAAAACTATTGCTATTTAGGTAGTTTTTCATTTTTACGATTATTCATTGGGAATTTATTTAAAAAAATAGCTGTTATAATTATTTTTATTTTAATTTATTATGTATGTTGAAAATTAAAATAATCAACATATTCATGATGCTTTCGACCCATCTTATAATTTGGTAATTAAATATTATATCTATAAAATCAAAGAAAAATCTTTAAAAAAGAAAACAAAAAACATAACCAGAAAAAATACAATGGGTTTTCTCACAATCAAAATTCAAAACTCAAACTTTATAACCATAAATAAAAAAATAAAAAAAAAAACAAAAATAATGCTTGCTTCACCGTGAGTCGTGAAGCACTCGATTACGGTTTACGGAGATACATACGTATCTAGTTGTCACACACAAACACAATCCAACGTATTTCATCGGATTATTATTGCCATCGGTTTATGTTATAGTTCACATTATAAACATCTGAATCTGATCTGCAATTGCAGGGATGAAATTGAAACTGAAATTGATGAGTCCAGAGATTACGTAATAAAAAGAGGGAGAGTCAGATGCTGCGGCGAATCCATCTGGTTAATTGAAAGGTCGTTGTTCAGACCTCCACCCCCAGTCCCAAACACATTCTCCGCTGATGCAATCTGTAAGCCAAAGATCCACTTTAATTTTTGCAATTTCATTATACTTTAACTTTCAATTCAATTCGTATAACCATATCTACAACAATACAAATCGCAACACATGAATGCAGCAAAGCAAGAAGACATTAACTTTGTCCTTTTAAAAACTACAATACTTGAAAAAGAAGCTTGGAAATTATTTGATTATAAAGGCAAGGAAGATCTGATAAGTTATGCTAGTTTTTCTTTAGTTACAAGAATCTAAATGATCATACACTTTTTAGGCATCATGTTCATGGGAACCAAATAATTGACTAATTTCTCCCTTTCAATGGTAAAAAAATAAGGGTATTTCAAAATTTTAAACAAATGAAACTTGTTTCAATAAGGTTTACCTGTTGTACGATTTCTTCCTTTTCTTTGATTAAATCCTTCCCCTGCTCACAATCACAATGATAAAATATAGATTATTAGACTGATGTTGTGTTTATGCAGGTTCCTACTTGGTATGATTGATATTAAATATACACAAACAGAAGAAGAAGGGGAAAGGGTGTATCATGTATGTGTATGATCTTAACGACCTTGCATTTAACCAGATGAATTAGCCTCTACATATATACAAACAATAAAGACATTGGTTGGATTTCACTGCCAATCCACTGAATGTATTCACTGTTACAACTTTCACAATTGGGAAAATCGAGTGCTGTTATATTATGAGTAATGGCAATACAGTAAGTGCCCTATGGATCTAATACTTTTTTTGTAAAACTCTAAAAGATGATGATTTTTTTCTTTATCTTTATATACCTGTTGTTTGAGGATAGATGCGTACTCCATCATCAACTGTGTCTGCATCAATCATCAACCATAATCAGTGTCAATATATTATATCAATATCATAATAAGATACTACTAATCAGTGACTAAATGCAAAACATGTAAATGGAACAAGTAGCAGCAAATAAAAGGAATCACCTTTCTTGACCTTGTTTGCATAAGAGCAGCATCAAGTTCTTCTTCTAAACGTGTCATCTCAACCACAGAGAGCTCCTCCTCCTCCTTATTATTATTATTATTATTCTCTTCAACAAGGCTGTTCTAAGAGTTGGATATCATTAAAATCATTATCTTCTAACTTACCATTGTGTGTGTGTGTGTGTTTGTTGTATGTTTACATATTACCTGTCCACCATTTGTAGAAGCTCTTTATATGTACTGAATTTATTGCACTTCAATGGAAGTTCCTGTAATGCAAATTCTCATTAAGTCACTAACGCGTATTTATAGCAACTATTGTGAAAACAATGAATTAAGTTCATTAAGAATTTGTATGTATGAGGGAGGCTTACTGAATCTTGGTTATCTCCTTTTGTGCTTCTGTTTTCTGCTTCATACCTAGCAAAAATATGCTCCACACTGGAACACATATATATTATAAGTATATTTATAGTTATACATACAACATTTAAACAAGTCATTAACAAGCATGAAATGTAGAAAGAAAATGAATTCAAAAACCCTTGGAGTGGACAATTTTGCCCCTGTTGGTTCCTAGTGTTGTGGTCTACTTGTTTGTTGTGGTCGATTTTGCCCTTGATGATCACTTCATAAGCTCATTGCTATATTTTGTTTAGCTTTGGTAGCTTCGTTTTTATCCTTACTCTTTTTTGTTAGCTCCTTTGTATCTTCTTTTGTATTTCTTGTTCTCACTTTGTATTTGCTTTATTAATTTGATTAATTTTAGTTTACTTGTTGTTTTAAAACCATTTTAACCCGACCCAGAAATATTATTTGATAGTTTTATGCCTCTTAACATATTTGAAATCCGGGATACGCCGCTTGTTATGTGGAAAAAAAAGTTGTGCAACCTATCAACATTTTTTCTGGGTCTGTGCCTCTGAACACATATGCTAAGAAAAAGTAATGAAATCATCTTCAACTTTATATAAATTTATGAAATGCTTTAAAAATTAATATTTTAGATAGATTCATAAGTATTCAATATAAATAATAAAATAAAAAGTATCTTATATAAACAAGGATATGGATACGTACACATTAGAATCTACTACACGTTTGTTAGTTAAAGGTTTGTTAGTTAAAGATAAAAATGGTTAACTAGTAATGATCTTTTACTAAGAAACAATCTAGGTCAGATTAGTTAGCGATTTTTATTTTTTCATTGTATATATCTATAGGTTTGTTTTTCTTTGGTGATTTTCCCTTGTATAAAGACCAATGGTTGTGGACAATCTTTTTTTTTTTTTTATTTTTTATTTTCTTCTTCTTCTTCTGTCGACTCATCTTTGCGTTAATTTCCCCTCATCCCTTCATTGATGGGAAATAATCACCTATCACTATCTCACTTTTTTTCTAAATAAATATATAAAAATATAATTTAATAATTATATAAATTTAATAAAGAGAAAACTCCATTAATTAAAATTCAAATGAAACTAAAACACATTAAAATAGTAAGTCACGTATCATCGTAGGTCGTAGCGTTGCCTGAATTCTCGCCTGAATCATCATGTTTGAATCCTCATTTGTATCGTAAAACAAATCATTGTACGAATTGTTGTCGACGGATTTAAATGAATATTGTAAATTTGTTCCATCAAATCAACACAAATGTTTGATGTCCAACACGATCGTATACTTCCCTTCTGCCCACCATGTAGTCTGTTGTACAAATACACACTTCTTCGAATATTGGTAAATTTTCATCTTCATTTTAGTGACAAATCGTTTTCCTTCTTCTATCATATTATGCAATATAATGTATGCAAACATCAAGCTATGTATTCTTGAATGATCGTATGACTATGTCGAGACTTTGAGTATCTGCTAAATGCTAACGTCTCTAAGAACACTAAAGGGTCGTTCGACATGCTTCCTAGCTGATCCTTGAGTCACCTTAGACTTTAATCGTTTTTTGTCGCTTGGGCATGGGAATGATTTCACAAATGTAGCTAACTCCGATATATCCCACCGATACGGTAGTACCTACGCTTGTATGATGATTCGTTCATTTGAAACGATACATCATACAATTTTCCAAGGTTAATGTCGTTGAATATTGGTGATTAATCTAGAACATTGATGTTGTTGGCACCCAATGCACCAAAATTTTCATGCCATATCCCAAGATCATGCGACACAATTGCTCTTAAAATTCTCGTCAGTTGTTTCTTATCACCTTATATGAATGGATTGGGCCACGCATTAAGACACATTGTCTACCCCAATGCATACAATTAATACTACCAAACATTGAAGGGTACCCATGGTTGTTTTCATATGTCGTTACTGGTGGACGTCGTTAATTGTAGGCGTGTACAAAGATAGGTCACGTAGAGGATAATCAAAGATTTAGCAAACTTGTAAAGACATTCTCGTGTCATTCGCTTTGACATCCACGAGTACTCATCATATGAGTTTACTAGTTGATGAATTGTCGTTGTATATTTTTTTTATTGGAGAGAAACTTTAACCGCCTCTCGCATCCCATTTTAATTGAAAATATGGAAATTGATTCTTCACTTCATTAACTATACTTAGGAATAATTCTTTCCTTATCCTGAATCGGTCTACATTTTACAACGTAGACACCATCATCAGCAAAGTAGCCTTATACAAGATGATTGTGCCTAGGTATACAATTTCTTTGTAAATGAATTTTTTTGGTTTTCGAACACAAACTTTCAGCTTCGTTTTCTTGTAGATAAGCGAGTGTCATTTGCATAATGTTCCCAATAAACATCGATTCGCGCAAAGCTAACGTATACATTCTATAAAGAGGGTTGAAGATGAATATTTTTGTTTGTCAAAATGACGACATTCCAACAATTTAGAAGTTCACATTCCATTATCATAGACGTAAGGATAATATGGTTAAAATTTTAAATTATTATAGTAATTCTAAGGTATAAAAAGATTCATCTTCAACCCCACCCTCAACCCCGTCTCCTTCACTGCCATGCAATGGAACCTCTTCATCACACTTCACTGGCGATTTTAGAAACCCGCAACTCCAACCAAATGCAAGAATATTTTTTGAACATCATTTGCACAAATCCAAACCTAGATCTCCAAATCCGACACCAAAAATACTCAGAATATGAAGATAAAACTAATTCGATTTGGAAATTTGTTTCATAAATCGTTTGAACAAATCCCTAGAAATCGTTTTCAAGATCTTGAGTTCCATAAATCGTATGCAAATGATAAAACTCTAACATCCTCTCTTATCGGTCCAATAGTTGTTTGCGGATCTTAAAATCCTAGCTTCATCCTTGTGCAAAAATCATGGTGGGTGTTGTTCGTTGTTTTTCCAGAAATCATGGTGGTTGATCATCATCAGTGTTCTAAAGAAGATATGGGTGAAAGTAGCTAGTTTGGTGATGATTCAGATGACCTAAGAGAAGATAGAAACAGTGTAATGGTGGTCCAAATCGCCATAATTGAAGAGATTGAGGTGGGTTTTGGCGGAGATGACGGTGAATTCCGGCGGAGTTCTCGTGATTTCTAGTGCGACAAAACTAGGGCCACTGACAGGTGGTCGGAGTCAAGTGGAGAGAGAGCGATCTTGGAGTCTTAAGCGAGAGCAGTGGGTGAGGGTTTGACGATGAGCGAATGTGATAAGCGATTGGTGAGAATATTTCGTCTTTAGTAACTTTATGGTTGTCGGCTGTCGGCAGCTTCATGCTTGCAGATCGTCAAATTCAATGGTTATTGAGGAATATCAATTGCTAGATAGGAAAAATGGGGAAAAGGTTATAAAGGGGAAGGGATAAAAGGGTGTGCCCCATAAAATTTAATTAAAATATTTGTTATTAATAAATTAATAAAAAAAATTGAAAAGTTCAATATAATCATTTTATGTTGTTAGGGACTATGCATGAAACTTTGAAACGATATAAAGGATGATCCGAGTTAATTTTTGAAGACAATGACTAAACGTGCTTTTTGAGATTTACACAAGGATCGATTCGTGTAATTTACCAAAAAGAATGGGTATACACGTGTAAAAGTTTAGGAGTTTGAGGAAATGCTCTTATTTTTCGTGAGTTCTTCCAATAATATTATTTTACGCAGGTTAAACAATACCATATTATAAAAAAAAATTTTATCTATCACTATATACAGGGAAAATTTCATATATGCCCTTCTTAAACATCAAAATATCATATTTACCCAACATAATTTCTGAATATTATATTTACCCTTCATAAAATTTCTAAATATCATATTTACCATTCATAAAATTTCAAAATATTATACATGTCCTCTTTAAACATTAAAATATCATATATATCCTTTTTATACATCAAAATATCATATATGTTCTTAAATATCAAAATATCGTATATGCCCTTGTTAAACATTAAAATATCAATGGTAATGTCTAAAATATCCTTCATCTACAACATAACAATGAACAACAACAAAAAACTAAACAATTAAAATATACATTCGATAGAGAGGGTTAAAGATTAATCTTTTTGTTTGTGAAAATGGCGACATTCCAACAATTTAGAAGTTCACATTCCATTATCATAGACGTGAGGATAATATGGTCAAAATTTTTTAATTATTATAGTAATTTTAATGTATAAAAAATGAATATAAAATATTAAAAACATTATAAAAGAGGATTTAGGCAAATATGATATTTTAAAGGTTTATGAAGGGTAAATATGATATTAAGAAATTAAGGTGGGAAAATATGATTTTTTAAGGTTTAAAAGGGACATATATATATATATATATATATATATATATATATATATATATATATATATATATATATATATATATAAACCATCCTTATCAAAATTAAAACAAAATCAGTACATAAATTATTTTTAAATCAATCAATCATAACGCTAAATTGAAATACTAAATCGAAAACCATGTTTAGTTTATTTAGACGCAAACCATAGGTAACTACTATTGAATGGTATTATTTTTGAAGATATATATTTTATAATATGGTTTAATACATATATATATATATATATATATATATATATATATATATATATATATATATATATATATATATATATATATATATATACACACCATAGGTAACTACTATTGAATGGTATTATTTTTGAAGATATATATTTTATAATATGGTTTTATATATATATCGTATCAGATGTATTTTTTCTATCACCATATGCATTTGAAACCTCAATGACCTTTCAATTTACAACTTAATATAATTAATTTATAAATTTAAATGTTATTAAATACAAAATATTATCTTATTTTTGGTAGACTTTAAAATGATTAATACAATATACTTCTTTGTTAATTTTAGTATTATGTAGTCTAAAATATAAATAAAACTTTAAAAAATATGTATTCAAATACTGTTTTTCAAAATATGTAAAAGGTTTAAATAT